CCCCCCAAGAACATCCCGAATGTATGTAGCTCACATATATCATAGCTAAAATGAAAGGTTGTGTGCGCTTCCTTCTTATCGTCGTTCTTCTCTTGTCGTTGTCCATGCATTGCGCTTCTGCTTTGCATGCGTTTTTCTCAGGTTTTGCACCTGCACTCACGTATCTATCGTTTTTGCAGACTCAGACTGCTTGGAAATCCCCATGCCACACATGTCCTCATTACTCTCCTGCATCATGTCATGCTATGTACGTTTGCTGCTTCGCACGGTCTACTTCGCTCATTGTGTCACATGTCATATAATTTGTCTTCTTGCTTGGCAGGCTATACTTTGCATCCCCCAATTTCATCTCCCTGTTCTCTTATTGTATCATAATGCACGGCATTTCATGTAGGCTCCTCTGTTGCTCCAGCTGTGTTCTGGATGATGCTGTTACTTTTTCTGCTCTGTTGCAGTCTTTCCTCTTGACGCAACAGGTAATCCGCATCTTGGGACCATTTGGCTGAAAAGGCCGGCGGAACAACCCGCAGGGTGTAAATATCAAAAAGATAAGCATTGCAAAATGCCACGTATAACATCAGCTACTTTGCCCTGAAAATGTACCAAAGTCCTCCAGGCTGCTATAGCCTTCCCATGCACTCAGCAAGGTCCTAGAGTGTTCTCTTCGGAACAAGCAGCGACTGATTGATAGAATCCAGAACAGTTAAGCCGCCCATTCATGGAAAGCAAAGGCCCTTATTTGACATAACTATGTGTTGAACCTTGGTATATAACCTACGACATAACATATGCCATAAAGACAGAGGCGACCCAAAAACCAGCACACCATGTGCTCCAATGAATCCTGTTGATGTTCAGCGTGACGTGCCGCACCAAGGATTCGCGAGCCCAGTTTCTCCAGCGCTCCACCTGGGGAAACGTTCCATCGACGTCGGGAGAGTTTCTCGTCGAATGTCGAACTCGAAGCATCTGGAACAGCCGAAATGTCGAACCGATCACTTCGCACGTGGAGTCTTCTCTACGCTTTGCAGCGATAAAGTGATGGAACACCTATGAAAACCTCCTCCATCCAGACCTATGACCTAGTAGGGCATCAGATGGTGTATGAGGTATGTACCGAGCGAGCTTCAGGTCTGTGTACTTCAGGATCGGCTTGCGCCCGCTCCCACCGAGACGCGCCGAGACGTAAGCGGCTTGGCCTGGGGGTCTCGGAGCTGCTTCTCGATGCCTAAGAGTGGTGCCAAGCTGTTCACCTCGGTCACTGAGCTGCGCAGCGTGAACACGCGCCGCGCCAGCGACGCCTACGCAAACGCACGGCGCCTGGGGCGTGTTGCGTTAGACCCGGCGCGAGAAGGACATGTTGGACAGAAAGGGTGTGGAGCTTTTGGTTTTCGACCCTGACACTGTGGCACGTGCAGTTTGATCCTCAAAGCACTGGTGACTCAAGTTTCTGGAGCTTTGCTGAAGACTGCAAGCCTGAAGCTTGGAGGCTCATTGTACCGAGTAGCAATCTGATCGCTGTCCACTAGCCACACGCCGCCCTCTCCGCCAAAGCGCAGCCTCACCAGGATGTCTGGAGTGTAGACTATGGCTAGGCTTTAGTGTGCATGGCAATAATAGAAAAACTGCTAATGCTATTTTCCAATACTCGGTTTTCCAAAAATCAGTTCAACAACCAGTGGTTCGCGCTTCTAACATGAAGCAAAGAGTTGACTGTGAATTGGCCCCAAGAGCTTGCTGAGCAAAGTCGCTGAGGGAGCTTCTTGTAGTCGCTTGGCGCCAGCTGGGATTTGAACATTGGTTCCACTTCGACAGCTTCCTCGCAGAAGCGGAACTGAGAAACTACGTATCCGCTGATCCTTGGATATAGATTATGCTACTGTAAAGGATTGATCATCACGCAGTTGCTGGTGCTTCTAGTGGCAAGTGCTAGCGGTTCCTCCCAAGTCGATACTCAAATCAAATGGTGTCCTTGAAAAGTCAAGGTGAATCCAAACCAGCAAACCATGATAATTTAATGTGTTCATTTGGAACAACATGACATATAACCCTTTTCAATGTTCACTATGTGTTCAAGTTGGTTCTAGTGCTCCATCTCTTGTGTCTTTATACCAAGCAATGAAGAAACAAGCGCGTAACGTGCAACGAGCCCAAACATGACCAAACATACCCAAACATGCCCAGACACTTGATCGCACAAAGTCACAGGCAACATGCCAAGTTGCATATGGAACCCTGAAGTAGTCGAGGAAAGCCTCAAGCTGAACCCTGATCCACTTCATCCGAATGCGTGCTTCCACTGAAGATCAAGGCCAAAACAGCTTAATCATAGAAGCCGGCAGACTCTTAGACAGAAAACCCTGAAGGAACAATTTGGATCGTCTTTGATATGCTCGCCATAACCAGCAAAGGTCGACATTAGCCAGTTGGGTGTCCTTTGGTGTGGGCAATCCGTGCATTGAAGCATTTCTCCAGTTACAGTAAGACCAGCCTGAAATGATTTATCACATTTGAGTTGCTCGTATGATTGCCCCTTGCCCTTGCACAAACACAATCTATTCTGCTGGCCAATCAAGCTATCCTGCAATTTGCCGCCCTCCTGGCCTTGGCCTTGCCACAATATGGACAAGTAGTATATCTGAACCTCAGAAGCGGTTTGTCTATTAATTATGCATATAATATAGCATATATAACTTCAGATCTCTCCAGTAGTTCTGTGGCAATCCACGATCCCAGAGTGATATGTGGCGCATGAGCTCCTTTCATGGTTGAATAAAATTGCCTGCTAACTCTTCTAAATCCTGGATGTGGACATGGCAACATCTGGGCACCAAGTTGAGTGCAGCTATGCGAGCCATGTGTCAATTCAATCTTAGCATCTTTGGACTTTAAGTTTTTGAAAGCGGCAGCAAGGCGATCCTGTCATAGATGGCAAACCGCATAACAGGCAAGGTTGCGCATTCGTTGAATGCTTCAACTACTAGTGTGCCAGCTGCATCATGTCATTCTGGTCTTCCCCTTCGACTCAATCAACAAAGCAAGTGCATCCTCTAACATCCTCCCGAGTTTCAAAGCAGCCATCTAAATTCGCCAAATACCAAGTAAAAACCAGCATGTAGCTTGAATGAAACGCACCAAATACAAAGAAGCTTCACCCCAATGCTGCTTCGAAATAGCCATCAGCATCATCTGTATCCCACAACTGACATCTCCTATTGCTCATTGTCTCAGGAAAGCTCTTCCTGCCTTCGGCTGCGCTGCATTGAAGTCATCTGCAGAGACTGCTTTGTTGTCCTTCAGTCTCTGCCGGTACAAATATGCGCCAGTAGCACCACCGGCAACCTTGAATCACATCGGGAAGCGTTGGACGGCTTTTCCAGCAAATCAACCAAGTCTTGCTGGTTGTGTTTTCGGAGGCTTTCTGAACAACTTTTATTAGACTCCGATATCCAGTCCACAACGATGCACGTAATCGCATAGTATATTCCAGAACACAAAGCGTTTTTCAATGGCCTCGGTGGCCTGGGCCTTTCCTGGACCGCCGCCTCTGTTGGGGTTCTCTTTCCGGCTTATTCTTGCGGTCACCAAAAAAGTCTGCCTCGAGACCTATGGACTTGGGAAAAGCGAAAGGAAAGGAAAATAGTATAAAGAAAAGGTGTTTGGGGTTCCAACTTTGTAGGGTCTGATTGTTTGAAGGGACCCTAACACCTTCTTCGTGCCTTTCGTTTTCTCTCCCTAAGCCCACAAACAATTTGCGCAAAGCGTACACAGCTTGAATTGCAGCTTGGAAGCTGCTACGCTGGCAGTGCCTAGGTGCAGCACACCCGAGGAGACCGGTCAGACCGGCTCCCACAAAACACGTCAAATACATCTGTGAATCTCTCTCAGCGGTTACGCGATACTGCAATGACCACACACTTAGATACATGCTCGCAAGAGCTAAATCAGTTTGGTAGTTCGAGCGTTACTGCAATTAGACCTGAAGGACCTTTAATGCAGTTACAGTAGACCTTGGCTAAGGGAACAGAGTGGCTTCTCGGGTCCGAAGAACAGACATGTTGAACATCGCGCAGTAGTCTTTTATGGAAGATTGGAGTAAAAGCTTGGACAACGGTTCAAAAAGCAGGTACATCGATCCAGCGTCACAGACCAATGCAACCGTCTTTGTTCGTGCCAGACTTGCATGGTCCCTGGCACCCCCTGCTGAAACTGTACAATTACCCTTGGAGGTGCAAAAAATGTATGAAACCATGAACGATAATGAGCGCATTAGTTCCACAACGAGCGTTCTTCAACTCACCCTGTTGCCAAAAATCAAGCATCCAATTAAACCAGCAAATGATGAAGACTTCTAGATAATTACGACTGATCAAAGAAAGAGCAAGCAACAATTTGTTTTGCAAGGTTCATTGCCGGTGGAATCCTCCTGAGCTGTAGGACCGCCTAGCTTCATGGCTTGACGTCGACCCATTCACCCTTGGCCCACCCCAGTCGGCAAAGTACGCAATGCTAAGCGCCGCCAGCGCGACATTGACGAAGCTCCAGATCTGGAGAGCCGTTGTGTGGTGAGGGGCACATCTCAAAATGATTCAAAATGTATCGAATCATATTGTGTGAATCGGTGTCCAGCACATCTAAGCACCTCCAGCCCTTACTTTGCCCAACTCATTCTAAACAAATAGTTGATTGGAACAAAGTTCAGGAAAGCAATCACAGCTGTGACACAATGACATACCAAAGTAGTACTTAGCAACAAGCAATATGCGCCCAACACATATCTCCTTTTCTGGCGCCTCTGTATATACTTCGGACAGTCAGCTGAATGTCTTTGAGCCGAATATGCTGACAATGCTTGTCAAAAACACCCTGAAACTCACTGCACGTCACCGTCACAAGCTACAACTTCAGGACTCATAAGTGCCTCAAGGTCACTTGCCAACTTGCTGATACATCCTGATAAGAAGTGTAAATACTCTGCTTTCAGCCCTTTCGGCAAATAGGATTCAATAGGCATATGACGAGAACTCCTGCAAAAAGCTCCTCCGAACCATTCTTGTACAGCTGGCCACATTTTTTCAAGGGCCATAGTTTTTGTCTTTCCATGATCCCAGATCTCCCTCCCGCCTTTGTAGAGCTTCTCTTCAACCTTGATCCAACAAATTCCAATGCTAGCCAAACCAACTACTTATACACATCATTATAGATTTATGTAACAATAGAATAGGGATACATGTCAAAACAATCAGTCTGGTCTAGCCATTAGGCCAGGGATCTTCCCGATTTTGCATGTTTCAACTTGATTAAGCTTTCTCGTTCAAAGAATGTTCGGCAAACGTTGGTAGACATCTCTTCTCGCTTGCGTTCCTTGCAAATCAAAAAGTCAAACAAAACCAGCCAAAACTCGGCACAAATGCCGTGCATCCGAATTGAACGTGTTTGTACAGGTTCAGTGCAGGATACAATATCACCACCTTGTCTGACCCGAGCGACATAGGTTTTCTGGCATATCATCTAGGAACTGTTTCATTCGAGGGGTTCAAGGGAGCAAGGCGCTTTTGAACCCTTGCTCTACTACGTCCTTGCATGCAGCATCCTTAAGCTTAGTAGCTACTCAAGCTACTACTGCCTGTCTTCCACCACCTTCCACCACCCAAAAACATAGAATGCTCTTCCGAATGCTCTTTCAATCGGCCAAGTTGAGCACCTCGAATTGGTCCACATGCTTCTGCCTCCAAATACCCTTTGCCAGGTGATCACCTGAAACGTTTGGCACTTGACATCGGCGAACGTGGCAATACGAGCGATGCGTCAAACACCGTGCGGATCGAACCGCCGTTTGGCCGGCACGTCTGCGACACCACGACAGTGTCGTCGTGCGTGCGGATGACGCGCCTTCATCCCAGTCCCAGGAGCAAACAATGTAAAGCTCCTGAAGACGCCGTGCAGCTGACCACATTGGCTAAGCACTCGTGAAGAAAGAGAAGAGAATTCGCTGAAGACGTCCCACAAACCCGCCGTCCGGAGTGGCAAGGTGTTTTCTAGCGCGAAAAATTGTAACTTCTCAATTCTCTGATTGCCCGATTGCTTGCACAAATTCAAAGGGGATGTTGGGTTGTGCTCAAGTTCATTGGGAATGCATCTCAGGATACCTGAGTGCAGCCACCGAGACAGCAGCCTGTGAAATTGAAAGCTCCAAGTGGCAGAATCCACCCAAACCTGTGACTGAAGCGCTGCCGATTGTCTGCCAGTTGCTTGGCCAAGCAACTGGCAAGGGCCAAGCTTTTAAAGCCTGAAACTTTAAGCGCTTTAAGCTGAGCTAAGATAACACATCTTTTGGACAAGACCAGATTTTAAAAGGCTACGGCAAAGAGACTGTTGCCATAGCCGCTATCGTCATGCACTGTCTGGGACTGAACTTCAAACGTTCAATTTTGACATTCTAATTCTGATTACATTTGGGTCCTTGGTGGGCGACTTTCCTATTATACTTGGCAGCCGTCAGGATTCGTTCTGGTACGGCAGTTTCAAATTTCGGACCTTCAATGTTGGAGGCTCACTGAACGGTGCCGTTTGCTGACTAGTACAGTACGAGTTGTTTGTTTAAAACAAAATGTAAAAAGTAACGTTCCAAACATGTCTGCTTCTTGTGTGCATCCAAGGGCTTCGGATGTGGCCGTCTCCCTGTGCTGTTGGCCTTTCCAAGCCGGAATACATTATTGTTTGTGGTCCCAAGAACGACGCATGTTGGATTGGGGAATGGAATAGACATTGCATTCGCGTCAGCGGCTCTTCTCTGTGCCTGTTTGAGGTCCAAACAGCATTGTTTGACTCAACAATGCTCCTTGTTCTGGCAGCAGCCCATGGCTTCAACTGACTTACTAGTACAAGAAATCCATCAGGAACATTCTACACAAGCACAATCAAACTGATCTGCTCAAAGCATTTAATTATGCTGAATCTCTGTGCATTTGTCGTTTCTCCACACTTGGAGGGTCTGTCACTGAGCTAGTTGGCATGTTCCGCCAAGCGGAAGAAGCTTAGCCAAACCAAATCCTGGAAACTCTGGCTGTTTGCACACCATAAACCAATTTTCCTTCCGTGACATGTCATTCTATAGTGACCAAGTAAGTAGATTGATTGAAGTACGTACAAGTAGGCTACTCACAACCAGTACCAGTCAGCAAAAATCCACGCATGGTTGTAGATGTTGAGGATGAGGGCAGCCAACAAGTTGCAAGATGGTCTATGAGTCCAAGCCCAGGCTAGGTTTCAGTCGCTTGCAATCTCGACCAACTGAACCAGTGCAGCTGAGAGGTACGCCACGGCAACAAAGAGAAAACAAGAGAGGTACGCCACTGTCTCTTCACCCTGCAAATTAGTAACAAGTGCATCGCTTCTAGTAACAAGTGCCTTACTAGTAGTAACAGGTGCCACGCTACTAGGAACAAGTGCCTTATTAGTAGTAACAAGAAGCGCGGGGTGTCAACTGCACGTCTCTTGTCTCGATGAGAATGTTCTGACAGTGAATAAAAGCAAAAACAAGAAGCTAGTAGAAAAAAAGAAAAAAACTCTTATTGTTACTAGCTTATTGCTACTACTAGTAAGGCACTTGTTACTACTAGCGTGGCACTTGTTTCTAATAGCTTCTTGTTACTACTAGTAAGGCACCTGTTACTACTAGCGTGGCACTTGTTCCTAGTAGCTTTCTATAGTTAGATCGTAGTTGCAAAGCCGAAGGCAAACAAAGCGCACATTTTGGACAGCACATTGTACCATCAGTTCATTTGCCACTCTATCGATGAAGTTAATTGGAGGGCAGCATGAAGAACTTCCTCAGCTATCTGTTACATGGACAAAAATTATCATGCGCCCAAAGTGTGCACCCACCTACAAGGAACCTTGGGAGGGCGTTTCGAGAATAGGAATTGTTCAGCCTCATCCCCGCCACAGCCTACAAAGAACTTGCACTGCCAAAGGAATCTTAACTGGATGTGCTTGGCAGGCTCTTACATGCTGCCCATCCGCAAAGACATGCGGTTATCCGTGCATCACGCACGCCGCCGGCGTCTCTTCTGCCTCTTGTCTTGTTGAGGTCAACAAAAGGACCTCAATGCAAAGCGCAAATTTGTAACCGGAAAACTCCCCGGTGGTCTCTGCCGCATTTCTGGCTCGGAGGAGCCACTGGGCAAATTTCGACCTCATGGCATTGCCACATCTTCTGCCGAGTCCGAGTCCATTGCCGCCAGCAAGGCAGTGCTAGTGAGATGGTCGGAGCAAGTGACGATGTCCTGCATGCCTCAGTTCCTTGACCCCACTGGCCACAAATAAGCCCCACTGCCGTTTTCGGCTCATGCCGAAGTCCAAACCTTCACACATTTCTGGCCAGTAAACGCATGGCTACAGGAAAGAACTTTTGCAAGGGTGGGATCCTAACCCTTAAGTGATTGATCCGGATAGTGCAAGGAAGTACTCGGAAGTACCAATCTCGGCAAGCTTTGGTTTGAAAAGTCTACAAATAAATCACCGAATATGAGAAGGGAAGACTTCGGCTCATCGCTAAATCATATCAAGCAGACTGATCCGCTGCTCAGTCTGCCCAGCTGCCAGTTCTGGCTGTCGGTCATCTTTTTTTCTGAAATGCCTGGAAGGGAGCAGCAAGCGAACGGTCTAAGATCAGCCAGAGGCGAGTAAGCATTGAACCTGCTTGCTGGTTCCATTGTGTAGGTTGACCTACCACAGCGACCACCGTTGCACGATGTTTGACTACAGTCCCTTAGAAGGTTTTCACTAGTGTCCATAGAACTACAATTCCAGAGTGCATCAAGAGTCATCTAGCCTCATAGCCTCGCTCCCCAAACACAAGATTATGTGTATGTGTATATATATATATATATTGGCAGCATGGAAGCTGCACCTGGATAGCAGCGTACTGGATACTGGTCGAAATCCTTGTATGTTCACGATTGATCGATGATGGGCATTATTACTTGCTGAATCCATATGATTACTCACAAAAACACACACACTTGCTTACACCATCCCTCACATAGTCATTTGCTACTCGGTAAAGGACGTCTCATGCTTGCCTTGGACTTCTCGTCCTCAATCTTTTTCGCCTGACTGGAGAGGGTTGGATTCAAACCAAAACCCATGAGGCGTATGGAACTTATGCCATCAAAAACTAAATTGAGAGCGGCTTTACATGCAAACGAGAGAGATCGCGTATGCTCTCCAGTAATCCCAGCCGCCTAAAAATGTCAAAGCCCCAGGCAATGCAAGGCACATGATTGACATCAAAATGTTCGTCCAAACCAAATGTCTGAAGTCATAAGCGCAGAAGGTATCTGCAATCTTGTTGTTTCTGTTGGCCAAAGGAAAAACAAAACATGATTAGTGATGATTGGTATCTGTTAGCACTGGTCTTCCTGTCTCAGCGACTGCAGGCGGCACCCTGATTTTGTGGACGCAACACGACCTGCCTCTTCTTGCAACTCTTTCCACCTCCTTCACCGAGGCCGATGAAAACTGATCGAAGCCAGGGAAAAGGACACGACACACCAGTCCGAGGCAAGGAATTCCGATTCAACACCAGCAACACCGAAAAGGAAACCTCCTGATTTCTGAGTCAAAAAGGTTGAAATCGCGTGCGTGTGCGTGTTTCTCAGTCAAACAATCTGTGTGCCGACCTGTCGTAAAAGCGATCGTACCCAGAAGTGCTTGGCTAAGAGTGCGAACTTAGAACATGGTAAGTGCTTGCTGCATGACAAGTCAGGTCATGTAACGGTTTTCTAGTCTACAGACATGAAAAAGGCGCTGTCTCCTAGCATTCCAGCGGTACACCATGCGGTAAGGGAATGCGGCACGCAATCCACAATTTCTTCTCCTCTGTTCCGCTTCTTTACTCTCACGCAATTTTGCAAGCTCTTGCTCCCTGGCAAGTCGATATCGATCGATGTCAGGCATTATCGCTTTCAATGTACTTTCAATGTACTTTCAATTCCATGTAGTCTTGCAATCTCTGATCTCATCAGTGTGGCTTGCCGGCATTATCATGGTCAAGTTCTTTGTGGCTGCATGTAAGGTTCTTTAACGGGCAAAATAGTCTGCTATCTATACGATACAAATAGCCATGGGCCATGACAACTGTGTCAACACCAGCAAGTCCTTGTATCTGTGAATAGCTGTGGAAAAAGCAAGTTACATCAAGTTACATTGAGCTCGGAGTCACAGCACCGATAGCACTGGCATCACCTCTCTTGGAGCTGCTTCTTGATCTTTGCAGTCTGGCAAAAGCAACGGAGAAAGGATGCCAAAGGCACCGGGTAGCATACACCGAACAGCTCTGCATCGGAGCATATGGCGGTTCTGTGGTCGCCATCACATTTAGTCACATGGAGCTGCTATGCGTGAGGTACAAAGTCAGAAAGCTGTAAATAATATGTTTTGCCAGTTGAGTCGCCAATGATGATATGTCAAAGTTGCTTCTCATACACCACAAGAGGCAGATTCTTGTGGGCTGTACCACCCCCTGAAAGCAGAACTGTGTGGTGTGTGGTCCCACAATTCAAAAGAGGGGTGTTGATTGAGCAGTGTGTGCCAAGTGTGTCTGCTGTCTGCTGCACACACTGTCCACCTCTTGTCCCAAGCGCATCTCGTCTTGCATCTTCCACTTAAAACTCAGTCGCCTTGGTGCAAGATTCGGGATCAAGAATGATCGAAGTACCCTCCTGGAGGGTCAAGCACTGTCCGCAAGGGCAGTGATGGCAAGGGCATACTCTTACATAAACACAGATTGAATGTTTGCTTTATGACAGAAACCAGCAGGGGCAACGTAGCAGCTTGCTTGTCAAGCCTATCACAAACTGGATCGCCAAACAACAGCAATTGCAACAAGTCCTGCCATGTCTTGACATCAAACCCGAGGAAATTCACGTTTGTCATTGGCTAATACACACGACATCCCAGAACTGGTTTCTGGAGCACCAAGTCACCAAATTAAATCAAGAGCCCTGAACTATATCAGCGACTGCCGGCACTTTTGGTCCTAGTTGCGAGTATCGTTTCTGCTTCTCCTTTTCGTCCACCTTCAATGGAACAGGGGCATGTCACAACATGGATTATCGGCAAATGCCGATTGCGAAGTATCGATTTGGCATCTGGGATTCTCCTGGAGGTTTCAAATGCAAAAGAAATGTTCGAAGAGGAAGCAACGGAATGCTGCTGGCGGTAATTATGGTAGTCTTGATTAAACGTGTACAAGGGCAGTAGACAAACAAAAGAGTTCGTTTGGCGAGGCGAGGAAGGAGAGAACGCGGACGAAAGCAAGACGAGATAGGAGGACAAGCAATGTCTCACTATTGCATCATCATGTAGTGAGACATTGCATCGTGGCCTCGGATGTGCTGGCTACTACCTCTTGTTCTTCCTCTTTTTTCTGTTTTCTCTCTTCCTCTTGAACCTTGCGCTCCTCGTCCTTCTTTCTCTTTGTCTCCTCTTCGTCCTTTCTCTTTCTCTCTGCCTCGTCCTTTTTCTTTCTCTCCTCCTCCTCCTTTGCCTTTTTCTCCTGTTCCTCTTTTCTTTTCTTCTCTTCTTCCTCTTGTCTCTTTCGTTCCTCTTCTTGCTTTCGTTTGCGCTCCTCCTCCTCTTTGCGCTTCTTTTCTTCCTCCTGCTTTCTCTGGCGCTCCTGTTCTTGTTGTCGCTTGCGCTCTTCTTCTTGCCGTCGCTTGTTTTCTTCTGCTTCTTTTCGCACGCGCTCCTCTTCCTCCTTCTTCTTCTGTGCTTCCGCCTGCTTGCGCTTAAGCTCTTCCTCTTCTTTGCGCTTGCGTTCCTCAGCTTCCTTCTTCACGCGCTGCTCCTCCTCCTTCCGCTTCAATTCCTCTTCTTGCTTTTGCTTTCGCTCAGCTTCGGCCTTTCGCTTCTGCTCCTCTTCCTCTGCCTTTTTGCGGGCCGCTTCCTCCTCTTGCCGTCTCTTCAGCTCTTCTTTTTCTTTAAGCTTGCGCTCTTCTTCTGCTTTCTTAATCTCCTCGCATTATTACTCATAGTTACAGTAGTCGTTTTGAGATCATCTATCCAAGAGCTGCATTTCGACTCCAGACTCTAGACCTTATGGGCACTTTCTAGTCAACCTGAGTCAACCACCATACTTACTGAACAATATGTTTGGCAACAAGGACCAAGACCTGCCGCAAAGCATAACGCTGGCCTCAGCTTGTTTGGCCTCCTCTTGCTTCTTTTGCTTCTCTTCCTCTCGTTTACGAGCTTCTTCAGCCTTCTTCTCCTCCGCTATTCGCTCCTGCTCTTTCCGCTTCTCCTCCTTTGCTTTTCGATCAGCCTCTATCTTCTGCTGCTTGGCTTCTTCCTGCTGCTTTTTCTCCTCCTCTTTCCGCTGCTTCTCCGCAATTGCCTTCTTCTCTTCTTCTGCCTTCATCCTCGTGGCAATGCGAACACTTGCCAAAGACGTCCCTCCGACATTGATTTGCCCCTTGACTCAAATTTTCAGTACACCAAAAGCAGCTGCATTTTGCCGAGAGCGTGTAGCAGCTGCAGCATTCATGTTCGTTTTCAGTGATCTCATGTGCTTTGGGATACGATTCAGTTCGGTCACACTAGCAAGTCGGCCAAGCAGGATAGAAATGAGCAATAGAAAAGATTTCAACGACCGGATTAAAAGAATTAGGCATTTAGGCGAACCAGTTCATCTGAGTGTATCTCCTCTGATACTCCTCTTGCTTCTTTCGACGCTCCTCTTCTGCTTTCTTCCTCTCTTCCTCCTTCTTTGCCTGCTTTTCTTCCTCGCACAGTAGGGTGTCAAAGTAGATACTTCTGGCACACATAGAGACACATGAGCCACATGCATCCATGTTGATGCAAAAGCATACTGTAGCATGCTATTTAAAAATGCTAGGACTAGGACGCTATTAGATGGGAAGTCGCTGTCTCAGGGTGGTGATACAGCGTTGAATCTAATCTTGTTGCCTCGAAGGCTGAGACGGGTGACCTTGCCCGGTCGCAGACTTCCAGCAAAGGACGGAGCATTGGCATCCAAGTAGAGTTTCTACCACTATTAGCCTTGCTTTGCGCAGCCTCCATCAACCAAGGCCTGATCGTAGAGGACAAAAGTACTCGGACAATCACTTCGCAACACTCTGCTCTGCGTAGAAGAGAGCAGAGTGAGCGGCGGAGAGTAAAGCTTGTGTAGATAACAAACCGTAAAGTGATGTAAAGTGTGGAGTATAAAGCGCTTCCTAAAAGTGCGTCAAGTAGCGAAGAAGGGCAACATGGAGAGAAGGGTTTTGATTCAGTTAGATTCAAGGCACCAAACTCCAATGAACACAAAGCAAAGCAAAACCAAACAAACAAAGGAATCAATCGAACGCGACCTATAGATATCTAAAGGCTAAAATACAAGTGAACAATTGGTGACTGCGCTTGGTTGATCCCTGACTTGAATAGTCTGGCTTGTTTGGTTGATATAGTCCTGGATGTTAGATTGTTGCACTGTTGGATTGGGGCAGTCCCTGCTTTTCTTGTTGAAGCAAATGCGGGATAGTATTTGAGAAGAACTTTAACTATAACCCCTTGCTCAACTTAGAACCAAGAACGTTCATCTCGGTCTGTCAAATCTTTGAGATCTGACGTGTCGAATTAGACTTGGATCGACTTTGGCTGGACTGACGCTATCAATGCAAACGGTGCAAAAGTGGCACTTTTGATGTACCACAGCCGAAACATTCAACCAGTGTTCCTGTAGGTTAGGTGTTCTTTCTACGCGTAAGCAACTGTGTAAATGTAACAAATGTTCGCTTTGCCCTTCAATGTTCCAAGTCCTGCAACTTCTTCTTTTCAGCTGCTGCTTTGAGGCGTTCTTCCTCTTTGCGCTTTTGCTCTTCCTCAAGGGTGTCTTTCACAGAATCAATGTTCGGTGAAAAGTACCCAGAGTCACATTAAATCTGACTAAAAGGTCCCATTCCAGTACTGGCACAAGAAGAGATTCATGCAGTGCTTTGTGCAGAAGTGCTTCGGAAGGGAGATCTACGTTGCAGTTCTTGCCACAACAAAGGGAGGCATTAAGCAAAAGCACATGTAACATCGTGTATGCAGCTGTATATAAATATTTGTAGCCCTGTTCTGTTCTATCATTCTGCAAACTGGTGGCCGAACATCGCGTCCATCCTGTTTCGAAGGCTGTGGTGGATGGACCGGATGCATGTGGAATCTCAAACATTGGAGCCTCTTTCTTCTTCTGCTGCTCTTCCTTTTCCTTCTTCTGAGCCGCCTCTTTTTCCAAGAGTTTTTGTTGCTCCAATTCTTTCGCCTTTTTCCTTTGCTCCTCAGTCAACGCAACCAAGTCTACAGTGCCTACAGCTGATAGGAATCAACAGGGGTTTCTTTCGACTTTGCAGGACGATGACGGCACGAATCGTCAGTTGGATCCAGCCAGTCCACCTCTTTCTCCTTCGCAGCCTTCGCTTGACGCTCACGCTCCTGAATGCAAGGTTCCAGGTTGATCATCTATCTTGTTTGCCAAAAACTAGGTGACTAGCCACGAGAAGGATCTGAGAAACGTCAGATAGATTCAGATAGTAAGCGTTGACACAACTGGCTGATGAACTTCGATGTGATGACTTCGATGTAAGTAACCGTCGGTCGCCAAGAATCACGGGCTAGCAGGCTGGGAGTTCGGAGGAAGACTCATGGCTCTGATGCTGAACCTCGCGGTGAAACGAGTAGCAGCTGCTGAAACTCCCTCTCTGCAGCCTCTTCTGCTTGCTTTGCCTTGGCAGCTTTCTGTTGCTTCCAAGCCTGGGCTTGTACGTTTCTTAGTTCCTTCCTCTTCCACCAGTATTTATATACATTGGTTTTTGTGAATGAGTTGTCTCATCGAAGATCAGTTTAGGACTGAAATCGGAACGTCTAAAAGCATGTTGAAACCTCTTCAGGCGGAAACGGGCCTCTTCCAGCTTCAACTGCTCCTGACTCATGGTGCCTTTGAAAAGCTCAGATGCCTGATGAGGAGACCACATGCCAAAGCTGTTTAGAACTTCTACTATTGCGACACAAACCGCCATCAAAAGTTTGATACAACAAGAGTCTTGGTAGGCCACGTTGAGCAACTGTGTTTGCACATGCTTGCACCATCTCGATGCTATTTAGTGCCAAGACTGATCACAGCGGTCATGCTGTCGGTCGTCTATCACACCCGGCCTTCATCAGTGGCCCTTGATCCAGGAAGAAGATGAAGCTTCCCACTGTGCAAATTGATAACCTCATGTTACCCCGCGAATCGTTCCGAGGCCGTTTCTTCCATGCATGAGGGTGGCACCATCATATCCACCACTACAAGTCTATTCCACACGGGGCCGGAGGCCGGAAATTTCACACGCGGTGTTGTGATGCGATGTGTCTGATGTGGGAGCTGTGAATAGGATTTGACCGGAATTGTGATGGTGTGGCTGCATTAGTGCTTGTCGTCTTGTCGCGTGTGATCATGTTCTCCAGACAACCCCACCGAAATATGCAACACACACTTTCTCGTGACACACTTAAGCGAAAGAAAAAACACAACAACTACACTTCCACGGTCTTGATGACCCCTCCCCCATACCCCACCCCACCAGCGTCCACCGGCCCACCCCTCCAGACTCCAACCCCAAACGCCCAAAGGCCCCAAACCGGTCACAGCGCAGGTCTCGCGTGCTCGAGTCTTCGGGTCTCAGGAGTTTCCTCTCTCGATGCTTCGATTTCAGAAGTTGTTCCCTTTGTTCAACTGGACGGTCTTCTGGAAATGTGCAAAAAAGACATGCTGCAGATTGTTTATTGAATATAAATGTAGTATATGTATAGCGCGAAATTGTCCCCTATCACTTCAGTTGTGCAACTGTTCGCATTTTGCTATCAACCTCCAACCCTTGCTTAAGTGTTCAACCACTTGCGGTGCCCAGAGCAGCCATGACATCTCTTTCACTCCATTTTATGGTAGACAACATAACAATGGCGGTAGGTCATCCACAGTGTTCAGAATCATTGGTCAAGCGAATTAGGCTGTGACGCACACAGGCTCTGATCGGAGATGGGCGCGTGCCTTGGATACCGCGGATGAACAAGCCATCTCGATCTAGCCATTCTTTTTCGATTTGCGCCATGATCAAGCGACCATGGCACATATGATTGGTTCCACTGGTTTGATTGATGATTCATAGATCGTGATAGGCTGAATTGTCTGACTGTCTGCCTAGATCTGACCAAGGTCGAGGTTGCCGAACCGAGATTCAAAAAAGAACGTAAGCTGATCACTGGCTAAGTAGTACAAATAGTGCTCGGATCAGTGTCTGAGCAAGAATAACTGGAAGTGTATCCTTTGTTCCCACCATTTGTACCTGAAAAATCATGTGAAGGCTGAAAAGTCTCGAAGTCCATTGGAAGGTCACAGTGCCATTGAAACTTGGCCACCCAGCGAAAGAAGCATCAGCAAGGCTGAACCAAAAGGCACTGCAACTGCATTCACCAGCTGCACCTTGGAGGTCTGCGAAGGCGGGATGACTACCAAATATGATGAGATATTGAGCATTATATGAAAAACATCCAACCCAAAAGCGATGGCCTCCAGCCCAAGAGCTATGGCCTCCGACCTAGTAGCGATGGCCTCCAACCTAAAGCGATATGTGTTTTAAATTGAATATTGATGAATATTGTATGCATACCAGTTCCATCAAACACATCCTAACAGGTAAAACAAAAATCAATAGTCATGACTCATGTGAAGGATGAACATGTGCCTGCCACATGTGAACCTCCTCCTTGGCTGTTCGGTCCCGCATCCGACTTCGCAGTGGCGAAAGATGTGATGTTTGAGCGATTAGATTCTGATGTGATCTCCGATTGGGAAGGTAACTGTGGCTCAGGATGGCAACCTCCGTTGCAAAGTGACAAAGATGTTTGATCGAGCAGCGGTACATGCCGACAGAAGCGGCCACTAGACACCTTTGCTGACCGGAAGTCTTGACACTCCCTTTGTCAAGTAAAACTCATCAAAACTCCAAGCTCCGTTTTGCATTTCCACTTCAAAGCCGGTACCGCAGAAGTCCAAGTGCTTCGGGGCCCCGGCTGTGGGAGCGTTTGCAGTGCGCAGGGACCAGGTGAAGGTGTAGCGCAGGAAGGCGCTTCCAAGGATCTGGCAGTGAGGGGGTCACATTGGATTCCCTTTCTGGCACCTTTGGTAGTGCCAAAACTGGAGTAGAAAACATCCGAACTTCGAATGATGGTGGGGTTGAGAAAAGTTTACTATCCATGTATATGATGGGAGTTGTGGTTTGTCTACCGCCAGTGCTTCTCCAGAATCGAACCAGTGATATCCGGTTGGATTCATTCGCTGCAATATAAAAATCAACTCAGCTGCTCGACATAGACGTAGGCAGGCCAACTCAGATTCGCTATCCTGGCAGCCAAATTCTCGTTGTTTCAAACATACATCCATCAGAATGTTCCAGAGGTTGACCCACATCAAAAACACAACAACAAATATTTATCCGAAAAGAGTTTGGCTCATTTCTCGCGGACTCTATTTTTGGTGTCACTTTAGTGTCGAACCTTTTGGCTTTCAGGCATATGATGCCATTTCTACGATCCGCTTGCTTTGCCGGCTGCCGTGTCTTAGGGCGAACTCAAAAGCTTCCTGACTTTTTCCTCATGTAAAGTTGCACAGTCCACATCGCCTTGGTGCTGGGCCAACGATGATTTGCGCCAACTCCAAGGTGCCAGGGAAGCTATGTAGCCGCAAGACCTTACGAAAGCCGATCAAGCCACTGTCACTTTAATCCAACTAGTCAACTAGCCGACTAGTATCAACTAGTATCCATCGTCCACTGTAACAAAATCTTGAAGTTGTGCAAGGAACAAGCTCCAACATCAAATCCCAAAAACTGTGAACGTTGGGCGTTGGAAATTGAATGATTCTGTATGTTTGCTGCCATTCGTCTTCAGTGAAAATCTGGTCAGCACAGTTATTCGGTGCCTCTGGCAGGGCCAAGGCTAGCAGTTGTGCGAAGGAAGCCAAACAAGCCACCTTGGCACTGAGGCAATCCACCTGCTTGTCCTATCTTCTCCTTATGCTCATACAAGTGAATGAAGCAGCTCTGGGTGAGCGGCTGAAGCTACAGAAAGGGGTGCTCTGCCGGAGAAAAGCACCTGCCAACGTCATCGACCCGGTCGCCGGGCACCTTCCGTCCGAACGCTCCGGACTCGAATAGCGATGCCCTTTGTTCCGTTCGTAGCTTCTTGCTCCCTTCGTAAGGCCAGGAGCTACTAGTAGCTTCCAAAAGAAGGGCCTCCTTGCCAGTCAGTGCCAAACTGGTGGTGAAGAGAGCAGCACCTGGGGATGGTCAAAGCAAGCCAATGATCACCTTCTGCCATTTGGAGCGTGTGAGGGACTGCAGAGCTGCGTGCTATCCATGTCATGTCCTTGTTTGATAAGCCTAGATAGTGCGTTCTGTCGAAATACCAACTGTTGTCAGAGTCTCATTCATTGAATGAGCAAAACAAAGGTTGCCAAAAGGTGTCTGTCTTCAAGTTGATGTCTGTGCAAAGAAACCTATCTAGGCTGTCTCAACTTCAACGGTGTTTTACTTTCTGGACCCAATCAAGCGTGCACAAGAAATCTGTGGCGGGTACAAAGCAAGGCGACATGGGCGGGGCTTGAAGCCATTGACCTCTGATGGC